TACAAGTCTACATATCCGAGGTGTCTAGAGCAGTCGGTGTCATAGAGATGAAAACAGAGTGGTCATTCCCAGGGCCTGGGGGGCTGGAGGAGCGGGAGTTATTGGTAGTTGGCCTGGAGTTTCAGTTTGGATTAGTGAAGAAGTCAGGAGATCGATGGGGGCAGCGGTGTGCAACACTATGAGTGTGCATGTCCGTGATCTGCACACCTGGTATGGTTAAATGGTAACTTTTACCATGTGTGTGCACGTGTGTGTGTGTGTGTGTGTGTCTGTGTGTGTGTGTGTGTGTGTGTGTGTCTGTGTGTGTGTGTGTGTGTCTGTGTGTATGTATACCATAACTTAAAATCAGCTTAGTAGGGAAAGATAGCTTAGCTGCTAGCCTGTTTGCCTTCAGTTCTGGGTTTGGCCCTCAGCACCACATAAAACCTGGTGTGTTGGTTCACACCTGTAATCTCAGAATTTGGGAAGTGGAGACAGGAGCAGGATTAGGAGTTCAAAGTCATCCTTGGCCACATAGTGAATTCTAGCTAGCCTGGGCTAACAGAGGAGACCCTATCTGAAAAAAAAAATACTTGAAAAAACCAATTAGCTATTAAAAAGTTACAGTGCTTTGCTGGGCCGAGGCGTAGATCTCACTATAATAGCCACTGTCCCCAGCCCTGGTAATTAGCATTCCCCCTTCTCATTTCTATAAAGTTGACTGCTCGAGGTTCCTCACATCAGGGAAACACATACATCATGCCTGGCCTTATATGTTTCAGGTCACCCTCTACCCCCTCATCTACCTTCCATATGGCTATGATCTACTGGAACCCAAATCTGTCTTCATTCTGTTCAGAACTCAACTGACTTCTTAACACACATCAAATGAGTGACATAGAGTGCTGTCCCTGTCATCCTCTGCAAAGTCCTTATAGCTGTGAAGCCTGGAGTTCAACTTGCTGACTGATAGCCAGGGACTCCAGCTTCCTCCAGGGCGTGAACATGACCATGACGGGCCAGGCAATTTTCTCACTCTCTCAGAGCTTCACTTTCTCCATGTGACAGACAAGTATGACTGTCACTTACAGTAGAGGACTGTGTCAAGGAGTACATGAGCCAGCCTCCACAAAGCCCTTGCCCAGAACCAGGCAAAGAACAAGCACCCAGGAAATAGTGTGGTCTGTAGAACTTTTCTGCCGGACGAAGGCAGGAGGAAGATACAGTAGTGATGGCTGCCTGTCTCCGCGCCTCCTGCTGTTCCCTGGCTCCCCAACCCTCCTCTGGGGCACTTGCGGGAAGTAAGTTCTGGTGTAACGTCTGAGTGAAACACAGCTTTTATCTTCAGGAGTCGCCGTGAGCTGTGTCTATGACACATATTTCCTGAAAGGGCTCTTTCTCTCTAGAGTTGAAGAGGACATACATAGACTCAGCTACAGACTTGACCTATCGTCTGTTTTTAAGATACATTAGAAACGAGGCTGGGGCGATGGCTCAGTGGTTTAGAGTGCTGACTGCTCTTCCAGAGGACCCGAGTTCAACTCCCAGCACCCACATGGCTGTAACTCCAGTTTCAAGGGACTGGAAACTTCCCATGCAAAACACTAATGCCCATTAAAACAAAGATACATTAGAAACACCATAATATATTCTGTTGCCAAATGTTACAAGGTATTAAGACAGCTCAATTGAACAGTGTGGCTATCAGGTTGATCCTAGCACACATACACTGGAAAGAGGAACAGTAAACAGATGTGATCACGGCTCAAGTGGAGCCTGGTGGTGATGGCTGGTCACCCTCATCTCCACTCTGAGAGGCCATGCTTCATGGGTCCCACCACATTGTGAGTTTCGAGGGACACAACATTCACTCAGTTCATGGAAAAATGGAGGCCACACTTTGTGTGTGTATGTGTGCATGTGGTGTGATATATGTTCTTGTTAGTGTGTGTGTGTGTGTGTGTGTGTGTGTGTGTGTGTGTGTGATTATGTATGTGTTTATGTGTTGTGGTGCATCTACCCATTAGTGTGTTATGTATGTGTGTATATTGTGGAATATGTACTTTTAGTATGTGTGTGTTGTAGTGTGTGTACATGTATGTTATGGAGTGTGCACTTGTTAGTGTGTTGGTACATGTGTGTCATAGTGTATGTACCTGTGTGTTGTGTGTGTACTTGTGTATGTGGGGAGGGCAGAGGATGACACTGAACAGCTTTCCCTCATTGGTTTCTATCTTTATTTTATTGTTTATTTTGAGGTGGGTCTCTCATTGAACTCATCAATTGATAGCTCATCAATTTGGCTAATCTGGCTGCCAATGAGCTTCAAGGATCTGTCAGTCTCTGCCCTCCTAATGCTGGAGTTACGGCCAGGTGCCACTTTCCCAGCTTTTTACCAGGTTCTGAAGATCTGAACTCAGCTCCTTGTGTTTGGGAGGGAGGCACTTAGCTTACTGAGCCCTGCCTCCACACTCTTGGAGATGGGGTTTTCTTATTTAACGCAGGCTTGCCTGGAGCTCATGATTATCCCACCTCAACCTCTCAAGTGCTGAGACCACAGATTGTACCACCACATCAGATTTAGTGAAAATTCCCACTCAGGGGAAAGTCCGGCAAACTTGTCTTTCTGCAGTTCTGTAGGTGACCTGGGATAAGGGTCATTTGTTTCTTTCATATGCGGTGGCTCAGAATTGAGAGCATTAGCTCCTCTCATAGAAGCCTTCTGTTCATAGGCTCTCAGGAGGCCCCAGGGTGAAGCAAGGCATGGAAAGCGATGTGCTCCACCCATTGAGGTCTTTACAAAAGCTGCAAATAATCCTTTCTAGAAAATTAGTCCCTAGCAGTCAAGTGTCTGTGAATACTTAGTTCAAGGCCCAACGACCGATGAAGACGGAAGGAATATAGGACCAGACATTTATCTCTAATGCACACATTCACAGTCACACATGCAGGCTGAAAGCATGAATCACTTTGTATGTGATATGTTTGATGCTGTGTGATCATACCAGCTCCATTGTAACTGTTCCGTGTATCAATCCATTTATTCTCCATGATAACCTTGGAAGCTAAATTTTGTTTCTCTTTTACAGAAGTGGGAATTCATGTCTGGAGAAGCTAAGTAGCTGGTCCAAGGTCACACGGTACAGAAACGGCAGAAATCTTATAACCACTTTGTCAAGGACGCCTTCTCCCTTACCTTTTAAATTACAAGAAATAGATATACTTTTTCTCTTCCTTTTGGAACAGTGTGCTGCACTATACCCAACTGGCCTTGGCCCTGAGATGCTCAGGCCTCAGCTTTCTTGGATTATAGACATGAGCTGTATGTTTCAGTGAAAACAGACATCCTAATAGTTTTGCTTCCCAAAGATTAGCAATGAGGTTTAAGGCCCCTTTTCGCCTTGTCTAATTCTCCTTCCTCCCTTCTCCAGGGCCACTGAGCTCACTGGCTTTATCACATAGGGGCCTTTCTTGTCTTGTTTTCATACTTTGCTCAAAAATATGTCCATAAACACTATGTGGAATTATCCATGGTTCCAAGCATGCTCCTGAGCATATATAAATTTTCAACTTGCTTTTTCTTTCTCACTCAACATCCATCTGCAGCTCTTGCAGGGTAGCTCAGTGGTCCAGCACTTGCTTCCCATGCATGGGCTCCTGGCTCACCATTAGCAATGCAACCCCTCCCCCCAAAAAACCCCCACAAAAACAAAAGGCAGCGATGAAATAAATGGAAAGGTCGTCTTTATTCACACAGATCTAGCTCATTCCCCTTCAGACGGGCTGACTTTCAGAATCTCCTGAGAAAATTTCAACTCCTACACATGGGCATACTCCCAACTCCTCTTCTCTCCCCTCCCCCTCGGTAGTAGATACCAAGCGCTCAGTTTATGTTCAGCTGTCTGTCTATGTCCAGGCTGAGTCTCATCCTCCCCGCCTCCCCCAGCAAGGCCCCTGTCTGTGGCTGATGTTGGAGAAAAGGAAGAAAAGAATTGTTTGAATGTGGGCTCATAGCACCAGCAAACATCAGGACCATTTCAGCCAAGTATCACAGTGACAGGGGGTAAGCCTGTGCCACAGCAAGACAAGGGGCTGCAGGGTGAGAACAATGGCGAGGCAGAGGGCTCCATACTGGGCCACCAGCGCTCCCCCTGAAGGCGCTCCCCCTGAAGGCGGTCTCACAAAGCCCTTCCCAGGGCCTAGCACCAATTGCCAGGAACCAGAGCTTATAAAGTCAAGGTTCTCAGGTGGAGCCTTTTGGTGGTACCTGGTGCGGTGACCCTGGGGTTGTGTGGAGAAGTCAATCTGGGGTCAGGGCCCAGTTTCATTGCCTTTCTGGGTGTCTGGCCAGCCGGGAGCCTTTCCCCTCCCAAGTCAGACAGAGTTGGCTTTGGGACAGCTGATTTCTCCTTTCAGAACCTGCTTTCTCACGGCAGACAATAAAAAAGCCTATCGGCTACCCTGGAAATTTTGTTTCCATCTCTGTCTGCTTAACAGTCTCTCACTGTCCTGTCTCTGAGCCTGCTGGGTTGCCCGTACTGAATGAAGTGAAGCAGGAAGCGCTATGCTGCCCTCGTCCCCGCCTTGATAGACTGTTTTCCTATGATTGATGTTTGTCCTTGTGCCCCCTCTTCAGAAAGGAGGAGGGGATCAAAAGACATCAAAACGGGGAAGCCGGCAGACCTCGGGACCGGTGGGTACCACGCACCAGTGTACCTTAGTGCAGCAGCCATCCATCGGTCACCTCGGCATGAGATGCCACAGTAGGGGACTCCAAGGACGATTGTTACTCACCCTTGGACGGAATCACGGTGGTGAAAACTTCAATATTCTCGTCGCTACAGCTGTAGATTTGATGCATGGTCTCAGCCTCCTGCCCTGCAGGGTGTCCGGGAGCCGGTGGCCTCTCTCTGGAGCCCTAGTCGCAGAGTTTCCTAAGCCAGTCTGGTTCTGGGATCATTGTGCAGGTCCACAAAAGGCAGGCTGCCTCTCACGCCAGTCTCCACCGCAACATTTCCTAATCCCATCTGTCTTTTTTTTTTCTTTTAAATGAATCCTATTATTGCAAACCTTTGATTGAACACGAAGGCTTCCGTCTCCCCCCAGCTAGGATGTACTTAACATTTTTATTTTGCAGTGTCTGCTGCAGTGAATTTGGAAGTCTTTTGTGAAGTGACGAAGTGAAATCGCCTACTCGGTTAGCGCCCAGCTTGGCTGGAGGATTTCACCCAAGAGGAAACGTCAATTTTGCTATCAGTCATGCCCGGGTCTCATTCCAGAAAGGAAGGACTGTTTTTTTTTTTTTTTTTCTTCCCCTCCAGGGGAACTGGATCTTCGTTTGTCATGTGTTAATTTGGCTCCCTTCAAAGTTTCTATTTTAAACAAAAGGACTGTTTTTCCACCACATATTTGCTTCAATCCATTATGACAAGGAGGTGAGCGGTTAGTGTTTCTTTGTACAACCCCACAGGTGTGCACAGCCAGGCAACAGGCAGTACACACACTCAAGAACCCATTGATAGGATAGCCATATTTTTATGATCTGTATTCGGATGTACTTATTACCTCATCTTCTATGTTATATATCCTAAGACTATACTATATTTCCCCCATATATATATACAAACAAATGTCATGGTTGATATACATTTCATAAGCATATGGGAGCATATACATTTTTATCCAGTCCCACTACCTGTTATTATGCTGTAACTTCACAATCCTTTTTTTGTTAAGAATATGCTATATTCCCCCATATATATATATAATGTATATGTATATGTGTGTATATATATATATATACACACACACATATACAATCAAATGTCATGGTTGATATACATTTCATAAACATATGGGAGCATATACATTTTTATCCAATCCCACTACCTGCTATTATGCGGTAACTTCACAATCCTTTTTTTGTGTTTACTTCACAGTACTGATGGGATATAATGGTATTAACGATGACAGCTGCCCTATTAGATATTTGTTACAAGCCAGGCAGTTTGCCGTATGATCTCTCTGCACATGCATCACTAACCAATAGCACTAGCTATTTATTATTTACCATGGTATTCTTGAGAAACTGAAGTAAATAGACTTTAGCTTTTCTGGTGATTAAAATAGCTAATTTGTGTCAAAAATAGGATTTAATCCTAAATTGATTGAAAAGTTAATGTACTAACTCCTCAAATTCTCATTCTCTCTCTCTCTCTCTCTCTCTCTCTCTCTCTCTCTCTGTGTGTGTGAGTATGTGTGTGTGTGTGTGTGTGTGTGTGTGTGTGTGTGTGTGTGTATCTCATGCTATAGCCCAGGTTGGTCCTGAACCCATAGTCAGCCCAGTGTAGGGATTACAGGTATGCACAACCATGTTCTATTTTTAAAATTTTATTTATTTAATGTGCATGAGTGTTTTGACTGCATTGGACATCAGATCCCCTGAACTGGAGTTACAGAAGGTTGTGAATCACCACGTGGGTACTGGGAATCAAACCCAGGTCCTCTAGAAGAGCAGTCGGTGCTCTTAACCACTGAACCATCTCTCCAGCCCCTTTGTGTTCTATTCTTTGGTCTTAAGACTCGTCCTTCTTTGACCTTGGGTGGACCTAGTTCATCACATTTAGACATGGAGTTATGTCCGCTGATATTTCCATTCTGCACACATTGGAAGCATCTGTTCCCTAGGTGGTTTTCAGCACCCCAGCTCTTTCTCTGAGAATTGCAGCTCTCATCGAGGGTGCCTCTGGGTAGCCATGTTTGCTCAGCCTGCTCTTGCCTCTGTGGCCACATTTGATTGAGCCAAGGTGGATGGCTAATCCTACCTGCTGCCTCCTGAGTAACTGTAATGGGGCCTTGGTCTGGGATCAGAAGAAAGGTATGATCTGGGCCTGTAAATCCCAATCCCAACAGTAGAGGCTGGGGCAAGAGGATTAGAGCGTGGGTAAGATAAAGAGTTCAAGGCCAGAATGAGCAGCATAGCCAGACCTTGTCTCAAAGACACAGCAAAATGCAAGAAACTGAGATGGGGCCGTCATGATGATGCAGTGGGAACAATGCTTGTTGTGCAAGTCTGAGGACCTGAGGTCAAGCCCCGGATCTCACAGGGAAAGGAGACCTCCACATGGACACATGCATCTACACAATCTCTCTCACACAACAACAACAACAACAATAAAATAATAGTAAAGGCAGACTGGAAGGGGCCTGGGCTCTAAATATAAATATCGAGTCAAGAGTTTTAGTTTACATCAAGGCCCATGTGTGTGTGGTCATGCCCGCACTCACTTCAGGGCCAGTGTAGGAGGCAGCTAGGAGTGAGGCAATGTGTGTTGGGGGTGGGGGAATCTGAGGTGGAGCATAAAGAAGCAGAGGTAAGACGGAAACCACCGCCTGTTTCTTGCTGCCTCTGGACCCAGTGTCTTTCTCTTGGGCTTGGTAAGATACTCAGTCTTCATATGCCAGCTTTCCTTTGATGTAAGAATAAGCAGGTTTCAGTCATTTTCAACCGAAAAGTTGACTGTTCAAAAGACTTGTTGGTATGTATTGTGTGTGCATTTTATGACCTTTACAGTGATTAAATTTCAGATGCTGTCAAACTTAGAGGGGCATCCACTGGGATAGAGTAAAAGGTGCAGAATTACATTAACAAACTTGAATGGTTGACTAGAATGCACTAGATGGAATTTAGCAAAAAGAAACATAAACATCTGGCCTTGGATTTCTAAAAATAGCCAATCCTGATTTAGTAGAAATTTATTAATAAGAAATCTGAGGTTTTAATAAACCATAAGCTTAATAAGTAGCAATATTAAAATGCAGGCACTAAAATGCACAGATGAAGACCTGCGGACCCATCATTAATTAAAATTGAGAGCTTGAGGTTGGAGACATCGCTCAATGGCTGGTGATTAATGGTGTGTGCTGCTCTTACAGAGGACTAGAGTTCAGGTGCCAGCGTACATCAGGTGTCTCCAGCTAGCTCCAGGGGATCTGATGCCTTCTTTTCACCTCTGAGGGCACCTGCATGCACATATGCACTTACACACACACACACACACACTGAATCTTTAAACATTAAGAACTTGGTGTGGGGGGATTATACTAGATCTAATTCCAGGGGATGGAAATTGGATTCAATTTTTATCCAAGAAAGGCCAAGCTTAATCAATTAGAGTATATTGTGTTATATTTAATTAATGAGCCTGAAATATGTAACTAAATGGGCTGATGTAGGAAACACACTCAGAAAACAGTTCTGAAGAAATAATTTTTATTTGTTTGAGGTATTTTTAACTAATAAGAGTAACATGTGATTGCTATATCAAATACAAACACTGTAGATGGGTCTACGGAAAAATCAAAACCTGCTTCCTGTGACATAGTTTCACTTCCTAAGAGTGTTCTCTGTATATATTGGTGGGTATATTAGCAGATTTTTATGCGTATTTGTAAGTCTATATTGTGACTTTTTAAAAACAGAAATGGAGTCATTCTATATGCACAGCCGTCAACATAGATAATCCCCGTCCTTTATGAGGAGACCTCTGAATTCGAAGAATTCATGCATCCCTTTCCATAGCTTATTTCCACTTTTAAAAGTTTGGAACAAGCCACAGGGGAGATGGCTCCTCCTTAAGGTGCCTGCTGTGCTGCCCTGGAGACCCACGTTTGATCCCAGGGTGCTTACAAAAAGCCAGCTGTGGTAAAGACTCAAAATGCCAGCCCTGTGGCGGTACAAACAGGAAGATTCCTGAACTGCCTAATCTGTTAGCTCTGGGCAAGAGGGAGATCCTGTCTCACAGGAAGCCAATGGCGTTGCAGAGGGTGATGCGAGGTCATCCTCTGGCTGCACATGTGTGTATCCATACACACACACACACTTCTATTAAAAAGGAAACCACTACACAGTGTATCTTGTAGAAGCATCTTTTTAGATGGCCCTGTTTGGCCTCTGTGCTTAGAGCCCAGAATCTAGGATCTTCCTGGGCTTGGTATTTTACAATCCTTGGAGTGATGAAAGGCTGAGCCATTTTAGAAAGAGCAAGCATACACCACACCTATGAATATTAGTGTCAACCCCTGCCCAGTATGAAGCTACACAGTTAGACCTGCTCCGGCCTGAGTACAACCTCTCCCCCTAAGACCTGGGAGTCACCACTGAGCTTTCCTCCATGATTACACAGGGTGCTCCCTCAGTGACTTTTTTTTTTAAATAAATGCATTTGATCTCTGTAGTTACTCCAAGGCAGTCATATTAGGGGAAGGTTTTCTTTCTTTCACGCTCTGAGAAATGCTTGCTATCCATTGGGAAATGGGAGACACTTCATGGTGTAGTCCCCCTCTTTCTCTCTTTAATCTAAGAGCTCCAGAGATCTAGCTCTGAGAAACCCTCTCTGATGAAACAGCATTTAGGGTGAAACCGAGGCTGGGTTGAGACTCTAGCAGGTGTCTGAACCACCTGGAGCACATCCTAAAATGCAGATTCTGGTTCCAATGGTCTAATGTGGGGTAGTGCTGGTCCCAGGGAAAAAAGGAGAGATCGATTCATCTGTCTATCTATCTATCTATCTATCTATCTATCTATCTATCTATCTATCTATCTATTCATCTATCTATCTATCTATCAATCTATCTACCTACTTATCTATCTATCTATCTATCTATCTATCTATCTATCTATCTATCTATCTATCCATCTATCTATCTATCTATCTAGGGTCTACTTGGCCTGGAACTCACTGTGTAGACCAGGCTGGCCTCAAGCTCACAGGAACCTACCTGCCTCTGCTTCCTGAGTGCTGGTTAAAGGTGTGCTCCAGCACATGAAGCATTAAAAGAGTTCATAACCCAAGTGCACTAAAATTGAGAGGAGGCCAGGTGCTCCTCCTAACTATTTAAAACCAATTATAAAAAAGATGCATATGCAAAAATCAATCCAGTTATCTATAATCAAGAGATATATTTGAAAATGTTCTGACCACTAAAATGTGCTAGGGTTGAGAGTTCTGGATGTGCCACAGTGGCTTTCAAATCGTCCCCACACAGAAGCAGCAACATCTCTGGGGAGCTTGTTAGACATGCAAATTTCTCAGATCCCTCCTGCCTGCCAACCAGAAACTCTGGTTTGGTGGAGGCCAGTGGTTTGCCTGAATAAGCTCTCCAGGGGACACTCTTCCTCACAAAGTCAGAAAGCCTCTGGTACTCAGAGTGAAGTGCGGTAGTGCTGACAGAGCCCTCCTCCAAGATTGAACCTGTGGTTCAACAGTCCCTGGCTGCAGATACCTCTTGGTACATTTCCAGATGCCTGGACACATCCTTCTGATTCCAAAGTTCTGTAGTTGTTCCCGTGGATATGTGGCTTTAGAAGTAGAGGGCACCGATTCTGTGACTGAGCAGAGATGGCAGCTTCCAGGCTGAATGGTGACCTGTGTGTCACTTTCTGGCTTGTGCTGAATAGTACCCATCTACTTATCCCACATGCATCAAATCCCATCGCATCCAGACATGGTGATATGCTGGTGACCAGACACTTTAGATATGAGCCCAACAACCTGGCAAGGTGTACTCACCATTAGAGAGAGAGAGAGAGACTGACTGACTGACTGACTGACTGACTGACTAACTTGGGTGAGTTACAGCCATGCTGCGGGCCCTCAGCTTCTTTATTGGCTAACTTTGTGAAATGCATTTATAATGTGAGCAGGTGTGATAGTCTCCTTTCGGTTCCTCTGAGAGAAAGAGAGGCTTCAGTCTTTCATAGGCAAAGTGATGCTCTTTTGGGCATGAAGAAGACACACGATCACACAGCAGGTGCTTGGAGAGTCTGGTCAGCCAGGGGTACTCAGGTCAATCTCACTTTACAAAAATAACCAATAGGGTTTTAAAAACCGTAAGTATGCCTCTAAATATTGCATAGGTCATTTACACTAAAAATTTGTTATTGTTTACTGAGATTTAAAGCTTACTGGCTATTTTAAAATTTATTCTTGAACAATTTCATAAAAGTATACAATGTATTTTGAGTATATCCAACCCAGTCCTCTCTCTGACTCTCCCCACTTTCATGTCCTGTTTCATTCTTTTATTTTATATATTTTGTGAGCCTCTGAGTCCAGTCATTGCTGCCTGTATGTGCATAGGTGTGTGGCTGGTCACGGGGCATGTGCAACCTACCAGCAGCCACATATCACATCCTCCTCTTCCCCCACAAGAGCTCCCCTTCCCTCAACAGCCATCTATTGCGATTGCTCCTTAGATAGGGACGGGTCCTCTTAAGTCCCTCCCCCACCCACGCTAGAATGTTGACTGGCTTGATCTTGCACTGGTCACCAGGGCTGCTGTGAGTTCATGAGGGTGATGGCGCCTCACAGCACCCCTCCCCAACTCCGGCTCTTACACTCTTTCTGCCCCCTTTTCTTCAATGTTTCCTGAGTCTTGAGGGAGTGTGGGCAGAACAGTTGACGCAGATGTCCAGTTCAGGGCTGAGCACTCAATAGCCGTTTATTCTCCACACTTGGACCATTTGTGAGTCTCTTTATTGATGACTGCTGCCCACTGCAAAAAGAAGCTTCTCTGATCATGATTGAGCCCAGCACTAATCTATAAGAATAAAGACAAATATTTAGAATGCAGCTTGGTCACTTGCATTTAGCAAAACAAATGGTAGCAGCGTCTCTTCCGGGGCCTATCGTTCCTCCAGCCATCGGCTTCTGACTAGGTTTATGGTACCAGGCATGGATTTCTTCTTGTGGAGAAGCTGGTTGATTTTCAAAACTGTTACATTAGGCAAGCCAATTGAAGTGGGTATTCTGACTTGTCACGGGGCTGTATTCTCCCTGACTTTTAAGACAAATGGATTATTGTTGTTTTTATTAATATTATTTTGAGATGGTCCTTCAATATGTTGCCTAGGCTGTTCTTGAACTCCTGAACTCAAGTGATCCTTCTGCTTCAGCCTCCTCAGTAGCTGGGACAATCACTGTGCATTACCATGCCTAGCAAAAAGAGAAGGAATTTTAACATAGTGCCCAGGCTGCCCTGTGATAGATATTACACAGCCATGCCTCACCACCATGTAAAAATGGTTTCTTTCATTTTTTTTTTTGCTTTATTTCTTTTCATTGAAATAAGACTCATGTAACACAAATCAACCATTTTGATGTATGAATTTGGTGAAATTTAGTACATCACAATATTGTGCTACTCCCCATTACCTAATTCCAAAGCATTGCCTCATATGTGATGGTTAATTTTCATTGTCAATTTGATTAGGCTTGGAATCACCTAGGAGACACACTTCTGGGGTGTGCGTGAGAATGATTACAGAGAAGTGTAACTCAGGAGAGAAGACTTGCCTGTGGGTAGCACCATCCCATGGAAAGGATCCCAGACTAAATAAAAAAGAAAAGGAGGACACCAACCAAGTATCAGCTTTGGCCTCTCCCTACTTTTATTGATGCAGGGCGACCAGCACCTCGTGGTCCTGCTGCATGCCTTCCTCACTAGGAAGGGCGAGATCCTCTCAAGCTGTGAGCTAAAATAAACTCGTCCTCCCATAAGTTGCTTTTGTTAAGCATTTTTGTTAGAACAATGAAACTGTGACTAATACATCATCTGAAAAGGAAACTCCATTGTGGACACCCATAGAGGTTTCCTAGTGAGATCTGAGCTTGCTTTACCCAGCAGGGCTGCAGAGGGGAATGACTTGACCACATGCGTGGTTACCAAGTGTTTGGAAGGGTCTTCACTTGGCTTTGCAGTGTGCTTTGATCTAGCAAGGTGGAAGTCTTTTGCCCTGCCTCTTGGCATTGTTATACAAAGCTCTTTTGAAGAGACAGAAGGGGCCGGTGGATTTTGATCCAGATCCTCCCGAAGCTATCCTGCATTTCTGTCTGTCTCCTCTCTGCTGTCTTTCTAAAAGTTTCTTATTCTTCTCTCCTCCTCATTGGAACCCTTTAAAAAGTGGGGGCTTGCCTCCCACAGATGATGCTCCCACACCCCAAACCCATAGAACTGTCACTACCCCTTCTTCACTTCGGCCTCTAGCAAGCATGAGTCTGTACTCTGTCGCTAAGGGTTTACAGGTAACTAGAATCACATGAATGGGACTGTCTGTGTCTGGCTTCTTTTAGCTAGCATAATATTTTGAAATTCATTCATTCATAATTTTCAGCAAATATTTAGTGAACATGTGCTATACATCAGGCCTTGGGGATGACAGGGTGTAAATTTGTGGACTTTATGTGCTATCGAGTGAGGTAAATGGTAAGATGAGCAGTATGTGAGGCATAGTAGATAGTGACCCATAGGGAAAAAAAAAAAAAAACAGGGAAGAGAGGATATGAAAGGTTGGAGTGAAAAATAAAACAGAGGCTAGGAGAAAACTGTATCTTAGGTTGGGGAGATAGCTCTGTGGGTAAAAGTGCATGCCGTACAAGCATGAGAAACTTGCCGCGACCCACGCAGCTGGAGAACGAAATCTGGCAAGGGACGCCGAGGTTAAACAGCATTCTAGACACCCAGTTTCAGTTCGTCAGGGAAGCAGCTCTCTTTATTCGTACCAACATGGGCTTATATACCCCTCTAACAGCAGGGGTCAAGGAATGGTTACTCTGTATCCGGAGGCAAGCCAGACACTGTTTTCCAAACAGGAAAAACCACAGGGGAACTGATTTCCAGCACCCTCTGGAACCCAACTGCACATTTTTCACACAAACAACTTAACTGGGACAGGACAAAAAAGGGCATTTAAAATTAAGGCAGCAAACTTATTGTTGCCGACAAAACTGAGTTTGAATTCCAAGCACCCATATAAAAGCTGAGCATTACAGCATGTGCCTCTAACCTCAGCAATGGGGGCAGACAAGTGGATTCACTGATTTCCATAAGCCCATGCATGCACATGGGCACACACACCTGCACACAGACATACACACACGAATCTCTCTCTCTCTCTCTCTCTCTCTCTCTCTCTCTCTCTCTCTCTCTCTCTCTCTCTCTCTCTCACACACACACACACACACACACACACACACACACACACACTTACTTCCAGGAGCACTAAAATAAGTGATCTTGAGACAGAATGATTGCTGAATCATCCAGTTCAAGACTCTCTGGGCTATGTAGCATGGCCTCCATCTGAAAATCAAAGCCAAAAATACAATAAGCAAAAAATGATCTTGACGAACAGCTCAAGTGAGCGAGGGAACCTGCAGACATCTGGGGAAGAGCATCTGCTTGGACAGGGGGAAATGCAATGCTAAGCGCCCACCCAACTTAAAGTGTGGTCGTACACACACACTTAAATAATTAAAAGAAACCGGAAGAATGAACTTTAATATTTGTATGTTGTATATTACGTGGGTGTATGCATGTGGGTACGTGTTCATAACATTAATAATATTTTATCTTATTCAATATATATTTCCTGTATATTTAAACTAGTTTGGGTTGGACTAGACTTTCTATTACTTGCAACTTGAGGACTCTTAAATTGATGCAGTACAAGTAAATCTATCTTGTTTTGATCTTTTTTTTTTTTTTAAATACAAGGTCTTACTATTTCACCAGGTCGGTCTTCAACTCACAGTCTCAAATGACCCAAGCAGTGGGGATGGGTGGTAGCTGAGCAGTCAAGCCTGGCTTCTCTCTCAGTCTCTCCAGTGGCTTTGGTCTGAATGCATCACAACATGCTTAGTGAAAGTTAAGCCATAACTCTAGTCGTTTCTAGTACTGACTTACACATTCAGGACTATCACTACGACAAATTCTTAGAAGCTGAATTGGAGATCCTTGGATGATATCTAGGGATGCATTTCTAACTATGAAGTTAAAAGTGGTTGTCTCTAGGACAGGAAGTTTGGTGAATGAAGAATGAATGTTCTCCATATATTAAAAGTATATAAATTTTAATCAAAGAGAGAAAGGATGAAAATAGAAATACATGTGGAACATAGACTCCAAAGCTAAAAATATTATGTGTAATGTTTTTTAAAAATATACCAAGAGGGCTGGGAAATGGTTCCGTGGTAGAATTCTTCCTAGATGCATAGGCATTAGGTTGATGTTTAGCACTGTCCAATGCTATACAAACTATATAATAGGCGAAGTCAATAGTAAGACAAGCTAGTTGAGTATAAATTAAAAAAGCTGCAAGTTCATACAGTGAGGGTGTAGTTTAGTGATAGAAGGTTTGTTTACTCTGTGCAAGATACTAAGTTAGCTGCCCAACACTGAAAAAAACCTACAAAAGAAGGAAGAAAGAAAAAAAAGCCACAAGTTCAGAGGAAGAAAGGTTAAAAAAATTTTATTTAATTAAAAATTTAAAATATCCTCATTTAACCATGTAACCAATATAAAAAAATCATTAATGAGGTAGTTGAATTACTTCATTTTAACAAAGAAGTTAATTTTGATTCACTGTGTTTTTTTCACACTGTCTTTGGAATATGGTGTGTATTTCCTATGGACAGCACATTTCAATGGCTCATATGTCTGTTGGCCACCATATTGAACAATGTGGATCCTCACTAGCTCCTGGACTTTGTGCTTGATCAACTTCTTGTTTTCGTTTATACTGCTTTCTCCATCACCAAAATTTGATTTTGAAGCCAGCTTTAAGTCAACTATTCCTTTGTTAATTGCAGTCCTGCAGGTTACAGCCAGGTGCATGCCAGCAACTGCTCCATCAGAATGTTCAACTTCTACAAATATTCTCTTTCCTAGAGTTTTATGGTGAGAGCAGAAATAAAAGAAGTCAGGTCACCAGGCCCAATGTCAAGGTAAATGCTTAGGCATTTAATCAGATGGCTTGTTCACGACATGAGCAACCAGTATTGCCATTAGCTCTTGATTTATGAAGCCACATGTCAGTTGCATGACGGATGTCATTAACATCAGCGTGGCAGGTTCATTCATCTGTCCCTGCGCAGCACTCCAGACATGAATGCACTCAACAGATGGGGACTTGCATGGTCACAAATGGAATTGTTTATCCTCCCATTGTTCCCATGTCAGCAATCAGACCAAATCCATTACCCACCCATAAAAAGATCAGCCTGCTGCCAGTTCAGCTGCGGAAGGAACGAAGCTATGTTGAAGGGATTTAGAGTTTTAAGAGATAAAAGATGTAATAAGAAGCCACATAAAAATTAAGACCCCAGAGAAAAATTTGAGTCTCTCATTCTAAACCCGGAGGATTAAGGGATTTGAAAGGGAAGGCTCAGCCAGTCTCCAGTTTCTTTAACATAAATACGCTAGAGCCCCCTTTAATTATAAACATGGCATGGCGTTCACTGTGTGCTGACGGCTTTATTATGTCATTTTAAAATTCACTCATATTGGGCTCTGAAGAAGGAGGAAATGTCTGCTTCCTAACAGGAAGGCTGCTGAGATGGACATTCGTCAGGGCTGTTGTGAGCCTTGCATGCCAACCAGTCACCTGCTCTTCAGAAAGTTCTTCTGGCTCAGCTTGCAGGTTCTCTGTACATCGATCTGGTAGTTCCGTGGCTCCTCCAGGCTGACCTCCTAGCATCTGAAGAGGACTATGAACCTTGTTTCTGAATGTGAATTCTAGAACTCTACTTGCCTTTGGTTCTAATAGGATATTACAGGAAGGAAGTGTTGGTTCCAACACTCATCCATAGCAGCTGAGGATCTGGACATGAAGTCTTTCTCACTCAGAATGGGAAACTTTGGTCAACAAAAAATAGTCTGAGAAAAAGTCAGACCAGCTGTTTCATTCTTCTACTAGTTCTATTCTTCAAATACACAGACTGCCACCTCACTGCTGAGGATGCTGGCTGTGACAGGAGAGGGTGAAGATCTTTGGTGATAGGACAAGGTCCTTCACCCCTGGTTAACATATTAGACAGAGAAATGGAGCAGATAATAAACGACAGGCACACAGAGTAGGTTCTGGAGTTCAGAGGACACCTAAACCAGAGTTCCTTGATTTCTCTGGGGAGAAAGACAGCCACTGAGATATTTTGGTTTTTCTCCTTCCTTCTTCCCTCCCTCCCTTCCTTCCTTCCTTCTTCCTTCTTTCCTTCTTTCTTTCCTCCCTCCCTCCCCCTCCCTCCCTCCTCCCTCCATTCCTTCTTTCTTTCTTCCCTCCCTCCCCCTCCCTCCCTCCTCCCTCCATTCCTTCTTTCTTTCTTCCCTCCTCTTCCTCCTCCTTTTTGCTGTTGGCAGCGTGGATGATCAAACCCAGGGACTCACAATGCTACTCAGAGGCTCTGCCATTGAGCTCTGCTTCCATCCTCTACTGAAAGACTTTGACGAAGGTGTATCTTATGAAGGTCATTCTGGAACAGGGAAGGGAATGGCTTGTAAGATGTCAAGAGATAGAAGGAGGAAAAACATTAGGAAGGTGACTGCTGCAACCAGGGCACGAGGTGGGGTTCTGAACCAAGAGTGGCGTGGGCGTGTGTGTGTGTGTGTGTGTGTGTGTGTGTGTGTGTGTGTGTGTGTGTTGATGAGAAAATGAGAAAGATAATAAATCATAATATTGTTGAAAAGATCACAATGCAAATGTATAAAGTGCTTAGAATAGTATGTGTGTAATTACCCCAATGTAATTCATATTTTCTCTTTGAGACTGTCTTTTCCAGCATGGACTATTGTAGCAAATCTCTATAGCCTGGACCTAACATCTGTTTCTTATGGTTCTGGAGGCTGGCAAAGGCAACATGCATATTCTATCTAGAGTCATTTCTGGTGAGAGGTGTCTTCTTGAGTGGAAGGCGTCCAACTTGGTACTGTGTGTTCATGTGTGGAGAGCAAGAGCTCTGGCCTCTTTCTCTTATTTTAAGGAGACCATACCCTCTTGATTTCATTTAAATCTAACTATTGCCCAAAGATCTCACCCCCAAACACAAAACCTCCTGGAGTCCTAGCTTCAGCGTTGGGAGCTGGGAAGATCCAAATATGCAGCCCACAGTAAATCCTGGTGGACACAGCAGAGCAGAATGGAGAACCAGGAAGAGTGAAAAGAGAGAGATGGTTATGGGCAGGGCAGAGGGACAGCATCCTTCAAAGGTCCCTAGGGGTCTCTGCCCTGCAGAGAACCTTCCATGGTGTTGGAGGCCAAATGAGAGGGTGGGAGTTTGGAGACAGAGAGATCACAAATATGAACATAAGGCCTGTCTGCTTAGTGCCTGTCACTAAGCCTATGCATTCTGTGGAACTAAAAAGTTGCTCTCCTTTATGGGTGACAGGGTTCTAGCCCCTCTTTTGTCTTGATAGCCCGTGATCTAGCAGGCTCCCCCTTTCTATTTCACAGTTTTTAGTCATGGTCACAGTCACAGTTGTGAATACTGATGGGCATGACTGAAGCAGGAGGGTCACTGGGTTTAAGGAACTCCACTTCTAGAAAGTAGAGAACACTGCCTTCTATGTAAAGTATTAAAAACATCAGACCGCCGGGCGGTGGTGGCGCACGCCTTTAATCCCAGCACTCGGGAGGCAGAGCCAGGCGGATCTCTGTGAGTTCGAGGCCAGCCTGGGCTACCAAGTGAGTCCCAGGAAAGGCGCAAAGCTACACAGAGAAACCCTGTCTCGAAAAACCAAAAAAAAAAAAAAAAAAAAAAAAAAAGAAAAAAAGAAAAAACATCAGACCTGTCCAAGAGCCAGGATCACGGTCTTCTTACACTTAACTGTTCAATTCATACATTCCTGAGGGTCTCAAAGGCAGCTTAGCAATTAATTTTACGATTCAAATGATGCTGATTTGTTTCCTCTGATGGATGGTGAGCTCTTTAAGGGGAAGGACTGTGTTTTATTAATCTCCGGAGTCCCCGAAGCTGGCATAGTATGTTATACTAGGTGGTTACCCAAAGCAACATCTGTGTGGGGGCCAAATCATTTGCCAACAGTGTGACTTTGGTCAAACAGTAGGAGTTCTCGGAGGCCTGATTTTATCATCCATAAGCAGGAGATCATTGCCAATGCTGCTTTATTAAGCTGTTTTAATTAGCGGATGATATAATGCATGTAATGTACTTCTAAGGCCCAACAGCTAAGGATGCAAACACATGATCAATATTAGGCTTACAGTTAACATTCCTGGGTCTGGTCTGACAAGGTTGATTTGGGGGTAAAATTTGGTGAGGCATTTTACTTTTGGGAGCCTCTATTTT